TAAAACATCACATCTTGCCACAACCATTTTCAATATTCAATATTTTAATAAAAAATTTACAACTTAAATGCTTATGAAATTGAATTACTCAAACAGCCAAAATAGTAAAGAGTAATCGACAGATAAAATATAAATGTGTAACTTTTAAAACATGTGACATCTTGCCCCAGCCTGACATTTATTAAAAATACTTTTAATACTTTAAAGTTTAAACCAAAGTTATATAATTGACTTTTGCCTTGGTGTATGTGATTTTAAATATTTTGCTATTTTAATACATTCATATTCATATTTACAAACAATTTGTTCTTGCTTCTTGTTATTAACCCAGTACATTATCATGCTTGTTGAAAGTAAATAAATAAATGCATATAAAATATTGATTTGAGTTGAAATTATTGCACTATGTGAGAATTCTGAGAATATGTATTATAATTCATGTTGTTTTTTTTCTTCCACATATTACTCTCTTTAAATTGCTTCTCATACTGTATATTGGTAAAAAAACATGTTTTATTGATATAATCCACATTAACTTCTCATGTTCGTGTTGTTTGGCTTGATCTCTCTGCCCTTGTCTGATTGGTGGTTGTGTTTACCCCGCAGCTCACACTCCAGATAACAGCTTCCTGGGCTTCGTGGTGGAGCAGCACCTGAACGCCAGCGACGTCAAGCACATCGATGACATCAAGCGGCAAAACCAGTCACTGGTTTACGGCAAGGTGGACAACTTCTGGAAAGTGAGTTCTCCTCGAAATCAGTCGCTTCCAACTTTTTTTTGGCTGTTTACATGTGAAACCGTGTTGTGTTTATATGCTAGATTGTTTCGCCACGTTTTCCGACTTTGAGCGCCAACAAAAGTGTTTTCAATTCGACTGCGATGACTTCATCTTTCCCCACCACAAGGCCACGGCCGGTTCCGCCGTTTAGATGTTCCTACAGAGAGCGTTTTGCTGCCCATCTGGATCCGAAACGCCCCGTGTGATGAGATACGCAGATGAAAAACCAGTCCCTCTACTCACACACCATCCAGAACATCTAATCCCACACATTTTTCCCCAGGAGGGACCTTATTCTCAATCTGTTTCTCCAATGTCCTTTAGAGAAAGTTTGCGCGTTTTTGGCGAACAATATGGGATGAACAGAGTCATATTATGGATAACAAGATTTTTCCTGCACTTGTAGACATGAAACAAAAAATTTAACATGAAGTATGCTAGTATGCAAATGTTAGCTAATCGCAAAAGAGCTCATTTACGTATCTTACAATATTGTACAGTAATAAAATCTGGCCGTTTAATTTTAAAGTTCACCAGGATGTTGCGACAAAACGCTTGTGTGTTTGTGACAAATACCGTGGGATGAATAATATTTTTTCTTGCTCTTTTTGACATGAAACGAGAATTTCGATGTGAAGTTTGCCAGTATGTAGTGGTTAGCTAATCGCAACAGAGCTCATTTACATATCTTAAAGGTACAGTAACAAAAACAGACAGTTTAATAACAGTAATTTTAAAAAGTTTTTGTGCATTTTTGTCGAACAACGTGGGTTGAAAGGAATCATGGATACATTTTTTTTTCTTCTCTTTGGCACAAAATGAAAGTTTGCGCAAAGATTGCCAGTATGCTAATTGCAACAGAGGTCATTTACATATCTCAAAGATACTGTACCAAAAAAAAAAAAACAGCCCGTTTCATTCTAAGATTCAGCAAAACTGTTGCAAAAAATAGATGCGTTTACATTGCCAATTTATTTGCGTATAACGTCAGGAAAATTTTTCATGATTTTCACATACAACACAGGATGACAAGCGTCATGTTTGGGATTTTTCTAGCGCTCTTGGATTCAAAAGTTTGCATGTGAAGATTGACAGCACAAAGAGGTTTGTCTAATCACAAAGGAGCTAATTTACATATCTTAAAGGTACAGTAACAAAAACAGCCCGTTTATTTTTAAGGTTCAGCAAGAGGTTGCGACATTACTTTTGCGCATTTGTGGCATAGAACGTGGGATGAAAAGAGAAAAATCATGAATAATATTTTTTCTTGCTCATTTTGGCATGAAACAAATTTCCATGTGAAGTTTGCAGTATGCAGTTCTTAGCTAATCGCAACAGAGCTCATGTACATATCTTAAAGGTACAGTACAGCCCATTTCATTCTGAGGTTCAGCAAAATGGTTGCGAAAAATAGATGCATTTAAATTGGCAATTTTTTGCAGAAATCTGAAATTTTTCGCGATTTCTACATACAACACAGGATGAAAAGAATCAGGTAATGAATGTTTTGATTGTAATTTAAGAAGCTTTTGTGCATTTTTGGTGTACAGTGTGGGTTGAAAAAAGTCATATTATGGATACAATTTTTATTGTTCTGTTCGACACATAATATAGGTTTGCGCAAAGTTTGCCAGTATGTACAGAGCTCATTTACATATCTTAAAGGAACAGTACCAAAAAAAAAACAACATTTTGTTCTTAGGTTCAAAAGAGTTGCGAAAATTTTTTACGTACAACAGATAATGAAAAGAGTTATGTTAAGGATAATGGGATTTTTTTTCTTGCTCTGTTAGATGCGAAAGTTTGCATATGAGCTTTGAAAGCACACTTGGGCTGTCAAAAAAAATTTGAATTTCAAATATTCGTTGAATTTAAAATAAAAATCCACATTTGAATTTTAGGTGTGCATTAAGGAGGCAGCCTAATCAGTGGCGCACGAGATGCGATGACGATGTAAGTGTCATTGCATTTTAATGTTTTTGTTAGCCTATCCGGTTGAAGCCACCAGATGCGGCGCTGCTGCGTTGTTAATTACAAATATTGCGGGAAAAGAGAACATAAATGCGGAGAAGATCTTGTTTACATCAAAACTGAAACCAAGCCGTTCAACGCGTTTATAGTTGTTTAAGCAACTTAATTAATTATAATTGGTTTATAAACATTATTTTAAACATTATGCTTTTTTCACAGATGGTCATGTTATCTTATGCTTTGAAGAAACGTGCATTAGTAATATTTTGCTCGATGCGCCCTCTTGTGGCCTCGGAAGCGAATCCAAAAGCTTTTCTTCACTCTAACTGAAATTATGCATTTTAAATTCGAATATAATTCGAATTTTGATAATATTTAAGTACAAAATTCGAATTTAGTTTTTCAGCCATTTTGACAGCCCTACAGCACACAGAGGTTGGCTAATCGCAAAGGAGCTAATTTCTGTATCTTAAAGGTACAGTAACAAAAACAGCCAGTTTAGTTCTAAGGATAAGAAAAAGGTTGTGAAATATAGATGCAATTATAGTGACAAACATCGCAGTTAACCTAGTTAAGAGCCATATTATGGAAAATTCATAGTTATCCTCAGGGGATGTTTTTTTTATATACATCACAGGATGAGAGAGTCATTTTATAGAAAACAGGATTTTTTTTCTTGCTCTGTTGGACATGAAACAAAAGTTTGTGCATGAAGTTTGCTAGTACGCGGAGGTTTGGATAATCTAAACGTACAGTAACAAAAACGGCCCGTTTAATTCTAAGTTTCAGCATAAGGGTTGCGAAAGATGGATGGATTCACAGCGACACTGCATTTGCAATTAACCTCAAGGAACGTTTGCGCAATTGTGACGCACACTGTGGGAGTGCACACCGCACAAGCTCATTTACATCTCTTAAAGGTACAGTAGCAAAAAAAAGTCCAGTTTGATTCTCAGGGTCAGAAAGAGGATGCGAAAGATGTATGTGATTACAGCGACAGTGCATTCTCATTTAACCTCATGCAATTTTACTGATGCCGTCCTTCACCCAGCGATAGAGAGAAAGGCTCCTGCTATTGCACAGCCTCTCAAGAACTGGTTTCCATGGAAACAAACTTGAACATAGACCCTGAATCAGTGAGTGTGTGTGTGTGTCGTCTAGAGATCAGAGGATATGTGTATAGGCTTTTGAAATGCAAATAAAGTCTTGGCTGCATGAATGCACACAAATACATTCATCGCGTTATTAGCGCTACAAGTTCACATGCAATGCATCTCTTGTGTTTATTTTCTGTCTCAAACACAGATGCTTTTCTGTGATTGGTTTTACTCTCTCTCACACACATACACACACACACACACAAACATATATATTAAGGGCTGAAATATGCTTGAGAATGCCTTACGGTACACTAATCACTCAAACTGCACATTTTTCTGCTTTGTAGCTGCAGTGTTTTCACGCTGTGTTGGCATTTCCGGCTCATATCTCCCATAATCTTATCACTGCGTGTTTGTTAGTCGATAAAACAAGGAACTAATTGATGATTAAACAAGGAGATCATTGACATTCTGTTGGATAGTGTGTGTGTTCTGACCTAACTGAGATAACTCACAGACGTGAATCTAGAATCATACGCAAGAATACAAGAATGTGAATCCAGACTAAATATTATAATAAAAAAGGTATTTAAAAAAATAGATTTTTCACTTAAGACTGTGATCATTTGTCATTGATTTATTTTTGAAGCTTAGTACTGTAATCATGCTGTAAAAATGCAGGGAACCACTCGTTATAAATCGCATTTCACACAGGCTGCTAGTTTCACCTTCACCATGAAGTCGTGTATGCTTAAGGTTGAAAATAAATGATGTTTATAGTGAATGCCCCTATAAATTGTCTTATATTTACGATTTAGTTTTAATCCAAATGATGCGTGCCAAGTGAGCGAACATCAGTAAAGATCACACAACAGAAGTGTGCGCGCGCTCCCTCCCTCCCTCCCTCCCTCCCTCCCTTCCTTCCTTCCTTCCTTTCTTCCTTTGTTCGTCCCATCACGGCCCGAGGTTGCGCCTTCCGGGAGGGGGGAGTTCTGTCACCACCATGGACTTTTGTTTTCTTCCCTTATGTTTTCCCCTGACCTAGTTTTCCCTTGTGTGTTGATTAGTTCATTCTGTTCACCTGTGTTCCATTAATCTAGTCATTAGTCCCTTGTTTGAGTTAGTATAAGTACTCCCCGTTCTGTTCATT